TGTTTAGTGGTAACCTTAGAAGAATAAGGATATGATAAAGCTTCACAGCACTTCTTCTGTATACCCTATTATTTTCCGATAGGTATGGCGTAAAGGAAGCTTGGTGACCGTCGATATCTCAAGAAATCCTACAGAGAGGCAAAGACCTGTGATTTGTATTAGAAATAGCAAAGGGGGAAAATAAAGTTTAGAAAGGGATCGAGAGTACCTTTTCATCATTTTGTTTGGAATGTTTCCGATAAATTAATGGTCTTTAATGCAAGTTTCCATCTGAAATTTCACCTTGAACAACTCAATTAAAATCTTGGTCATTGATTCTGCTGGAGGATTTTTCAAGGTAAACAAGAAATTTCGTGGCACATCGAATTTTGATCGATCTAGTGTTTCATAGAGACAATCGAAACGTTTTAATACTTACAAAACATAAAACTGTTTTATTAATTGTACAGCTGACCTACCACTGACTTCTTCTGTGGATCAAACCCTGCTCCCACCTCCATTCCTGAGCTGTAACCCTTTACAAAATCAGTATGCAAGGTCTCCAAACTGTTCTCTATACATTTCATGGCACCTAGAAGGAGAACGTGTCTTACAGTCAAGACCTTCTTGAGTTAGTAGTGATCATTTCCTTTAGTGACATGACCTTAATGTTTGATTTAGGGTGATACTGTCTAGAGAGAGACTAAATAATTTGGATATATCAACAAAGTTTAAACGGTAAATTGGCCACCGTAACAATTACAAAAGCTGAAGTTTCGAGCGTTAGCCCTTCGTCGGAGCAGTCGGAGCACCGACGCAGCCCCAAACAGTTTCTTTAGAAACTATCAGCCTTTATTCATTTGTAGAGAGAGACTAGATTGCTGTCAATCGTAAGGCCGGGTTCACGGCTTAAAAAGCTCCAAGAAATTTGTGCACACTGAGAAGACAATGGGTGTTCCTTCTAAAGCTAGGAATGCCGGAAGGAGTAGAAATTAGGAACCTTACGCAACCACGACGACGACGGCAACGAGGACGTGGAAAAACAAGAGATCTAATTGGCAGAACAATAGCTCAGCACGTGCATTTTGAAACTTTCTACATTTCTTAGCCGTCCTATGCAAAACAACAACGTGAAATCGCCAAAATTTGCGTCGTCTGCGAACCGAAACCGCGACGGCAAATTATTTTAATTTCCATGTGGAACTCAACGCTACTTTTATTCGTCACGCTGAAGTTGAGCTGTGGCGCTCTATGAGACAGTAAGCTCCTGCAGCCATTTTTTAAATTGTAACTAAGAGTAGAAATTAATTTTTTTAATCGAAGTCTTCCTTGGCGTTGCCGTCCTGATTGCGTAAGGTCCCTATTATCTTGGTCAAAGACACCCTCCGGTATCTTATTATTTAAACACTGTTTATGTAAAGGACATCAGTAGTGATTCACATGAATCACAAGTTTGTTTTATAATGCAATACCAGTTAATTTCTTTTCCATTAGATTTTTGTCTGAGTACAGAAGCCTCTATTATTAAAATGAAACGGTTGGATAGATTGTCAAAGCTCTTTTGCTTAGACTTCAGTTGACAACAGTACTTAATGAAGCAGGTACGTTTTTGAAGCTTGGGTAAATAGCATTGAAGAACATGATCGCAAAAGATGTCTTTTTTTGTTGTTAACGTCGCTCCATGTACTGTGCAGATAGTTATTGTTTACAGAACCACGCAAAAAGATGACAAACTTTCATATTAAATGTTTTTAGGACATCTTCTACGTAAATGAGTCTAGCAGAGTTTCGTAAGTTCCTTGCATCATGTAGATTGTTAGAAGTCACTTCCAATTTATTTTACGAAGAAATGGTCTTCAATGGCCATATCAACATTTTTACAAAGCTTATAAGAAATTTCTTGAATGTGATCAACATGTGATTGCTTTATCGACATAATTAAAAGTTTATTTTTATCTAGGATTTTGCATTTAAACGTAGTATGTCGGCAAAAAATGGAGTGCATTGGTAGGGAAATACAGGGTGACTGATTGCTCTCTGTCAACACTGCTGTTGTACTGAAAGTCGTTACAGCAATACACTCTTGGACGTATTTCAGGTTAATAAATAATCTCTACATCGCTATTGCAGCCAAAAACCTATCAATATTGCCAGCGGATGAAACTTTGATTAGCACTAGTATGTCATCAGTCGAGGAATTTATCGAAAAAATATCCATTTGATATCGTTTTTGTCAACAATCAATAAAGCTGCAGTTTAAATGGATAATTGCAGAACACTTGTTTCTTAAAAGGGCCATTTCACAGAAAAATAAGGTGTGAATAAAAAAGATAACTGTTTCAAAATGACAATGGAAATTAAAAAGAGGCCGATGCCGTGCATCTGTCAGCTGAAAAAATGCCTTTCTTATAAAAGTAAAGGGTTCATGTCATCCCTCAGTTTCTGCTTTGGATAGAGTACCGCTATCATGATGTCGGTTTTCATCGCTTTCGTAGCCATTTGTATGCCCGCTCTTACTGAAGGTACGATAAATTTCATAGATTTTTCATTTTTCAATTCCCCATCCTTTTTATTTTTTTATTGTAAGTTTACACATGCTAAAGCGTAGCATGATACAAAATTGATCTACGAAAGGCATTGTGTAACTAAGAGCGGCTTTTTTTGTCCGTACTCGCTGATGAGTAAATGTAAGAGTAATAGGTAACCATGTCAATATCTCTGTTTGAAGATGACAGGAAACATTTCCATTTTTCCGAAAAAAAAAAAAATTACAGAACAATGCAAATCATTTCTCTCTCGATCCACGAAACAAGTCCTAATCAGGATATCTTGTCAATGACTAGTGACATCCTTAGCTCGGAGATAACTTTCATTTAGATCCACATGAATCTTAAGATAGGTATGTTGTGGTTTTGTTTGTTTGTTGGCTTCATAAAATGTAATCTACAAGTACTGATTAATTTCAGGGTGCGGTTCTCGTCCGCCCGGTGCCCGTGTGGTTAACGGGGAAGATGCTGCGCCACGTTCATAGCCCTAGTAGATTTCTCTCAGAGTTAATGGACGACACATCTGCGGAGGGTCTCTGATCAAGTGCTACTGGGTTGTTACTGCTGGCCATTGCGTAGAAAGGAACCTAGATCCCCGAGGGTACACAGTGGTCGTTGGCAAGTGTGCATGTCGAATGATAAATTATCACTGCTAGGCCTCTTGAAATGCGAAAATAGCACTCATTATCAATTGCGGAAAAAATTTACTCGATTCCTTGAATCTTTCACTCGTATAAAGCAAATTTGTCATTCACACTCCTGAGGGACCAGCCACTATCTGTCGCCTGTGGGAGGGGGGAGGTCCTAGGATTCTGATTGTGACACGATAACATGAACCTGATCCCCCCTCAAGGCTCTGTAGTATTCTTTCGACTCCCCTCTGACACTGAACTCTCTATAGTCCCCCTTATACTCAGCTAGCGACGACTGTTCCCCAGCCTCTCCCCCTGAAAACCATGTGATCACCCCAAAATCCTTCCCGCCCCCCTGCCAAGGGTAGCGATTAGTCACTAATATATTTCACTATGTAGGTGCCCACATCAGAACTAGGACCACAGCTGTTCAACAAACATTCAATTTGAAAAAGCTTTTCAAACACGAAGGATTCTCGATGAGCCATCTAAAGAAAGACATTGCCCTGCTACAACTGGATGGCGAAGTTACACTTAGCGATAAAGTCAACTTGGTTTGTTTGCCAACTAAAAGAAGTAGAATTCTTGCTGTAACTGAGTGTTTTATCACTGGTAAGCTTGCTTTCCAGCTATAAACTTTTTTTTCTGTGGTATAAGTATTTGTCATCTTCATAGTTGTGAATTTAATATATTCATTGACGAGAGAATATTCCTCGTTTTCTACTATGCAGAGAGGCAGACTCTGACCTCTTAGTTCAAGTCAAAACGTTTCACAGGAATTCTGTTTTCATGACGATACCATAGCACCTTGGATTTCTGAAAATTCCAAATGTTTGAACATTTTTGGGAGAAGGGGTCGGGGGCAATCCTAAAAAATATCCATATGTTGTGAAACATCGATAGGCCGGTAAGGCTTAGAAAGAGTCAATTTCCCATCAGACGCTAAAATTAAATAGAACTTAGTCGGAAAAAGATGATTTTGGCATGATTTTCAAAATTTTAAAAATTCAGCCAACACTTGATGGCTGGTTTCTTCAAGACCGTATTATCTTTCTTACCAGGGATGAAGAAGGATCATTGGAGGTGGCCCAGCCGCAAACGCCCTGCAGCAAGCAAAACTTCCGGTTGCAGATCACAATACGTGCAACAGAACAAACGGTCAACTCGCTCCAGTCGAGGAATCAAGTATGCTCGGTGCAGGTAGTGGACAAGCAAACCAGGCAGCTTGTTGCCAAGGAGATAGTGGACGTCCGTTTGTTTGTAAAGAAAATGACGCATGGGTTTTACGAGACGCAGTCAGCTGGGGAAATGAAATGTGCAAGACTGATTTCTACAATGTGTTTGCCCGTGTCAGCAGTTTCAATGACAGACTCAATCAGAAAATGTGTCGAAGTGGGAGTAGTGGNTTAATAACCTTCTTGAGAACACCAATCGTGAAAAAAAAAGAGGTGGGAGTAAGGAAGTTCTTCACAAAACTTTTTGGCAACCACCACTTAACTCGAATAGCATTCGATGAACTCCATCAGACAGACTTAAAATCTAACCAAGGTTGTTGCAATTGTTGTCACATTTCTATGCCACGTGCAGATTGCAATTGTGTATCACACGATTCTCTTATTTATTGTCGATGACCAACGTCAAACGCTAAATAAACAAAGCAATGAAGTCCGTCCCTCGTTACTGGGTAGTTCACAACTGTACAAGACGTTCACCCATGCACATCTGGCTTCGATATGATTTTATTGTTTGTCTTCAGGTCATGGTGGTGGTATTGGGCGTGCTTGTAAGGATAGCAGCAAGTACTGCCCAGTGCTCGCTGCGCAATGCTCGACTAACGCTTACGTAAGACTGAGATGTAAGAAGACATATCGATTGTGCTGAGCATATGAAATCGGGTCACAGGTTCGTTACCACTGAAGAGTCGGTTACTTGTCCCTCGAAAGAAAAAAATAACTAACGACCAAACTTCTATTAAAAATAAATCGGATGAACCCCCTTTTCGCTGTGTTTCAAAGTTTTTAAACTACTTCCCACCAAAGGGTAGTATGTCATAAGGAGAGAACAACTGTTGGTTTTTCATTCTTTACATACTGTTGGGGGACAGCTGACCTTATCCAAGATGGCGGACTGCCTGTAGAAAAAGTATGGGGTTTCCATATTTTATACGCTGTTGGGAGTCACGTGAATTTATCCAAGATGGCAAATTTTCACTAGGTTATCATTAATCAGCTTGTTAAATTCACTATCAACCTTTACAATCTAGATTTTCTAACAAAAAACTGTTGTAAAGTGCGATTGAATTTATCTTATTATTTCAATACGGTATCTCCTATTTGATTAGGTATCTAAAAGTGGAGAGCTGTTTCGACATAAGGTCTCGTCGGAGGAGCGAAAAATACAAGTATCTGACTCTGAACAGACAACCACTTTGCATCGTGACACGATAAGGAAGGATTTGTTTACAACTGATATTCGTTATCATCTCCTTGCTATGCAGATTTCAGGACTCGATAAAAAATTGCTATTGTGGGGTTGAAAAAATATGCAATGTGATTTCATGGTCGATTCATTATCAGTTTTGGTGTATCAATTGTGAAATAAAGTTTGTCTTGAGGGAACTTTTATTTCTCAATTTTTCTTTTATTTCTCCAGCAAACGGAACTACATAACATTTAAATATGTGGAGTTTTGAGCTCTTTACCTGAAACCTTTACCTGGAAACATTCGCCGTTAGCTTTATCATTGTCAAACCTTCGCTCAATTGTATTGCCCAGAAGGGCGGCGGCATTACTTTCTGTTTCCCACCCCCATCCTACCCACCCCCTCTACTCGTTGAGATGTGCACGTTTATGTCAGCGTCTGTTCACGGTAACGCAATCATTTGGCCAGTAGGATTTCAGAAAAGTTTCAGACCTCTTAAAAAGGCGGCTTCTGAGGCGAGATACAAGTTAAATTAAAAGAGTCTTTAACGGTCTTTGAATAGTTGCACTCAACTTTACCGTCATTTGCCTTGTCTTGCAATTTGAATTCGTTGACACCTTCGCTGGAGATGATGCCGTAACCTACTGAGAGGATACCTTGTGGTAACTTTGTTGTATCCTTTGTTCTATCCTAATCATATTAGCTTTTAAGTACCTTTAGCTTAATAAGTTTTAATAGTTCATTGTTTCTATTATTTTTAATTAATTTATTGGAGGATTCGTACCAAGTACAGGAGCAGAAACAATAGGACATGGGTCCCCTACGAGGTTTAAGCACCAACAAACCCACCCATCCCACCCCAGGGGAGGACATCCATCATACAGTTATCTCGTGCGTGGGAAATTAACGTCCCCTACCCCTAACCCTGCAGGAGACGGGACTAGAATATCCGAGAAGACTAGAATATCTAACTATTTCTTGATGTTATAGAAAGGTAGCATGTTCTTCTCAATTATTTTAAGACCTTGAGTGTTGGTCTTGCCTTTTCTTTTCTATGTATGAAAAGAAAAGGCAAGATTTCCATATAACCCTATACATTTATTATGCAGGCGGCGTGAATTTTTTAATAATTGTTATTTTTATTTGTTAAATTTCTATTTCTAGCTTATTTATGTATTTAATTACGCTTTTAATTTTTTTGTCCCTTACCGAGTGAATCTGCCTTTATTTTTGCAGCCGGGTTTGTCGAAGGATCGAAGCAGTGTGCACATGGAGAACGCAGCGAACGCCAGGAGAAATGCGTAAGTAGAAATTCTAACTTTTCCTTTTCAAACCTCAAAGACTTCTTGAAATTCAAATAGCTGAAGCCGAGGAATGACGAGGGTTATGAAGGACCGTGTAGAAACTTTGCTTTGGTGTTTATAAGCTCCAGACCGGGATATTTACAACACGTAAGCTTAAATATTTTAATTCACTCATTCCCTGTGCACAGGATCGCTTACAATCTTTTTCCAAACGTTAATTTTGAGTTTTTAGACGTGCAAAAACTACCGCGAAGACGCTTATTGGTTTTAAACTTTTCAGCCGTACTAGGTTTGTAGTTCGCATTGCTTAAAGTTGAATTTTGTCGGGCTACGGCGACGTACTCTCCCCAAGCCTCGTCAATAACGATAGCCGTAGCAGCGCCAGCCGTAGTGATTTGCTTGAACTCCCAATATTTCGCGCCGCCATACGAGTTCGGAACGGCTTGAAGTGAATACTTGCATCTAATTAACAAATATGTCTGTGAAATCATTACCTATTCCTGATAAATCTCGTCGAAAGCATGTGCGAAAAGCTTCGTCCGACGGTGGTGATGTAATTCCCTTACAATTGGGAAGAAGTTTACGCTTAAAAATGGCAAATACAAGGAGTGATTTGGAAGGTGAGAGAGCCGAAAGGGCGAGAGCCATGTTTAAATCTCAAGCCAGGTACATTGGCGCTCTGACAAAGTTACAAAGAAACATCGAAAAGCTTATGGAAAACTGTGCAACTTTGGAGGACTTGAAGGCCAAACGGAAATCGTATGAAGAAGTTTGGCGCAAATTCGTAAGTACACCTGAAGAGTACCTTGAATGTCTTGATTTACCTTGTTAGGAGGAAGAGCTTGAGAAAGCTCGCGTTAGTTATGATGAGCAAATGTCAAGGAAATTAACCTTTGACAATGTTATTGAGTCCTGGTTTAAGAAGTGGAAGCTTCAATCGAAGGAAGTGATCGAGCGAAAGGTCGTTAACACTAATCAGAAACACTAGAAGAAGTCATGGAAGTAAATCGTCATATTTTAGTTCAATTTCATTGACGGTTTTGAAGAGAATGGAGAAATTAGCCCTTGCACAGTTGAAAACAAAACAGTTACTAATTAAAAGGAGCAAGAATTAAAACGGACAATGGCAGAATTAAAGTATGAAAGGGAGTTTATGGAGGCCCGAAGGGAAGAAGAGAAGGCAACAGTTAGCCTCGATGTTTACAACCAAGCTGAAGTAGAATTTTGAGCGTGGCAATATAGACACATGGAAATTCTGTCCATGGAACTTGAATCATCGGTTACACAAGGAACTGAACTATGTTATTCATATGAAGAGCCTCACTCGAGTAATGAAAGGGCAAATGTTGTGGTGCAACCTATTCCCTTCGAATGCAAACCTGTCCAAGTACGTGTACCTTCAGAGCAATAACCTGTATCAGGAAACGTCTCTCGAGGACAGAAGGTTGAGCTACACAGTGCAAAGGAAACTGAGAGATTGAAAGCCCTACCAGTGTCAAGTAATTGGCCTCAACAAGTTCAGCTACCCCCAAACCAGCAGACTAATAGTAAGAAAGTCCCAATCCAGTTTCAGTCGACACACCCAGCTGAATATCGCATCCTAGATGCTGTTAAAGTGACAAACTCAGATAGATTTCTTTGTCAAAGGTCTGCACAGCCGCCGTTGTTGTAACCACACTTACCTCAAGGTACCATTCCACCCAGGCAAGGAGGTGGAGAAGAAATTGCACAAGCACTACGTTAAGTTGTCTCTGCACCTAAAGTTCAGTACATGCGTTTCGATGTGAACCCGATTAAGTACGTTTTGTTTATCTTTAACTTTGAAATTTGTTTAGAGAAAGATAATCCTGACAATTCCAGGAGGCTACAGCTCCTGATTCAGCATTGTTATGGCAAGGCGCGAGATGCAATTGAAAGTTGTGTGAACCTAAATGTGGAAGAAGGTTATTATGTTGCAAAGAACACTTTGGGTGAGAACTTTGTCAACCTCACATCATGACGAAGGCGCATATCAAGAAACTAGAGAACTTACTTCTTCTAAAGCAAAAGGATGAACAAAGCCTTCTAGAATTTGCGAGACATTTGCAAGTCGCCGACAGAAAGAACCCTTACAGGCATGGGACCTGAGTATGTGAGTGATCTAAACCATACAAACGCTCTTCGTCAACTAAACAGGAAGCTTCTGTTGTTTATGAGAGTCAAGAGGACCTAGTGTATGGGTAGGATTATGGAATCTGGTCAGAGGCCCAAATCTGTGGACCTTCTTCAATTCTAGAAGCAGAGAGCAATGCTTGTAAACAATGAATTTGGAGAAGACCTTAATTGTAGTCCATCAAAGGAAAAGGAGAAAAGTAAAGGCAGAGATGTTCGGAATCGACCCCCTCACAAGTTTACGAAAATGGCTACAGGTGCACGCAGTGATCCAACACAAAGGCTCGCAAGGAATGAATTGTACAAAGCCAGGTTGTTCTGTCTGTTCCAACCAGCATGGTGTTTGGAGGTGTGGTAAATTTAAAGGTTTACCTTATCAGGACAAGATGAAACCTCTTTAGGAAAACAGCCACTGTATTAAGTGTCTTAATGTTGGCCACTATGCGAGAATATGCCCTAAGACAAATTTCAAATGCCAGAAAGAAGGGTGCAATAAGGAGCACAACACATTGTTAAACCCTCCAACCCCCCGAACCTGATGGTGGTAGTACCAGCCAGAGCCAGCTTAATCGAGAAGGCTTAAGACTGAACACAATCGATGGTTCAAATTCTGAGACGAGTTAATTTAACTACCGCAACTGGGGCTGGCGAGCGAGTGTGCTTAAGTGTCATCCCTCTCAAAGTTCAAGTCAAAGGAAGTGATCTATCGCCGGTACAGCCGTATGCCTTGTTAGACAGTGGATAAACAATAACTCTTTGTCACGAACATTTGTAGAAGAAACTTGGTGTGAGTGGTCCAAGGCTCAACTTTGCATTATCAGGGAGGAAAGGATCCACAAGGGTGTAAAGTCAACTACTAGACATTGTTGTGACGTCAATGGATGAAACTGAGTCTGTTGAGTTGTCAAATGTTAGAACAGTGAAACAAATGCCAATCTCCAGCGACTGTATTGTCAAGAAAGGAGACCTAACCAGATGGCCTCACTTGTGCGGTATTGAATTACAAGAATTAGAGGTTGAAGAAGTTATGTTGGGGATTGGTCTCAAGGAGAAACCAAATTTGTTCCAGGAGTACAAGACAGTAGGAGAAGATGAACCAGTAGCGGACAGATATAGTTTATAATGGACTGTAATTGGTCCTGTCGATGGTCAGAAGGAGGATCCAAATTGTTCAGCAAATTTCACTCACACAATAGAGAGTTCCATTGTTTATTACAAGGTTCCTGTCCTGCGAGATGAACGTGTGTGTCTTAGCCCGAATGAAGATAGAAGATTAAATGAACAACCAGATAATGACGACAGTGGTCAAGTCTTCAATGAACAATTCAAAGATAAGTTAGCTAGTCAGAAGGAGGCCAATTTGTTATTGTTTAGCAAGGTTGAAAGCGAAATACGCGATAAAGAGTTGCACCAGCAGTTGGAGAGATTATGGAAAACAGACTTTAAAAACACGGAAGTAGAAACTAAAGTTAGTGCATCGGTTGAGGACAAAAGAGCGCTAGAGATTATGGAAAGGTCCCTTCAACAAGTCAATGGACACTTTGAAGTTGCCTTGCCTCGGCGACATGACCCACCGTATTTGCCCAACAACAAGATAATGGTAGAACGGAGTGCCCTGCTTCTTAAGAGGCGTCTTATGAAGGATGAAGATTTGTTGGAGAAGTATCGGACGACAATTAATGATTACATCGCAAAGGGACACGCACAAATGGTTCCTGAAGGAGAGTTAGATACAAGGAGCAGACCATTGTGGTTCCTCCCTCACCACCCGGTGACACACCCTTTGAAGCCCGAGAAAGTCAGGGTTGTGTATGATTGTGCAGAAAAGTTTGGACAGACATCTCTAAATCAGCAGTTGCTGCAGGGACCGGATCAGACAAATCAATTAGTGGGTGCCTTAAGTCGTTTCAGACAGAACTCTATTGGAATTATTGCTGATATTGAAGCAATGTTTCATCAGGTCTTGGTGGACCCCAAGAATTGTGACAGTTTGAGATTTCTGTGGTGGCCAAATGGGGACCTGACAAAGGAAATGAAGGAGTATCGATCGGAATGGTTAAACATTTGTTTGGTGCTACATCTTCGCATAGTGTTGCTAATTTCTTTCTAAGAAAGACAGCGCAGTTGCACCAGGAAGAGTTTGAGAAAGAAGTAATAGAGACAGTGTACCGCAACATGTATGTAGACGACATGATGAAGTCGACAAACACTACAGAGAAGGCAATCAGTTTGGCAAGTCAGTTGCGGACGTTGTTCGAGAAAGGTGGATTCCGCTTAACGAAGTGGTATAGCAACAATATCAGAGTCCGAAACAGCCAAATCAGTGGTGAATTTAGAACTCGAGCAACTCCCTACAGAGAGCGCTCTCGGATTGAAATGGAATATAGAAGAGGATAAGATACAATGAAATATATGAAGTTCATATATTTTGTACTGCAGTATTAGATACCGCAGTACAAAAGAAGATAAGTTTGTATGGGAAGAAGAAGATAAGTTTGTATGGGAAGCAGATAAGTTTGTATGGGAAGTAATGGAGAGGATGTTGCAACCAGTGAGTAAGAAACCAGTAACACGCAGAGGAATTGTGTCAGCTGTTTACTCCTTCTTCGATCTACTGGGATTCAGTGCACCATATGCCATGAAAGCCAAGTTGTTGTTGCAAACACTCAGTAGAAAGAGGCCGCGTTGGTCAGAAGAAACCGACGAAGGGCAATGAAAGCGCTGGCTGAATGATCTCCTAAAATTGCATGAAATACAGGGAGAACGCTGTTTCAAACCCAAGGGATTTGGAGAAGCTAAAGAAGTAGAGTTGCACCTCTTCTCGGATGCTTCTCGTCAGGGATATGCAGCCGTTGCAAACCTCCGTTTAAAAGATGTGACCAACCAAGTTCACTGTGGATTTGTAATGGGAAAGGCAAGGTTGGCTCCCATACGTGAGATTTCGATTCCAAGATTGGAGCTGACAGCCGCTGTCATTTCCGTACGGCTCGCTAAGAATATTCGAGAAGAGTTGGATATGAAAATAGACCGTGTTTGCTATTGGAGTGACTCGACTTCCGTGTTGAAGTGCATTAACGAGTCAAAGAGATTCCATACGTTTGAGTCTAATCGTCTAACTGTGATACGCAGTGGTTCCAAACCCTCAGAGTGGAGATATGTGAGGCGGGACGATAACCCTGCTGATGATGGTTCGAAAGGTCTTCAAATGGACACCATGTTTCATCGCGCAGAATGCCTGGACATCACTAATTATTCATGAGCATTAAAGTGGGAAATTTGAATGCAGTCGCGCCTTGGAAAGCTTAGAATAAGAGAAGTAAGGGCCGAAATTAGCGACGCAGTGTTGATAAAAGTAGCTTTCCCATTTGTCAGAAGCAATAAGTGAGAAACCCAAGAGCGGATTTTTGAAGAGGAAGGGTTTATCTCTAATTTAAGCTTAAAAATAGGAAGTTTTAGAAAGTATAAGGACTATCCCTGAGCCTTTGAAATTGACGAAAAGACGGAAATTATTAGCATGAAGGCCGATTTCAAAAGCGATTTTTTAAAAACTCAAACCGGCTTTCAAAAACCAAAGAGCGGGAAATGTAAGATAGATCTTTCCTGAAACAGAATCCGTTTAACCTTTGAAATTTGGTGGACGATAATCACCATCCCTCACAGTTTTAAAATTTCCAGTCAAAGATCCTTTCGAAAATGGCGCGTTTCGAATTTGACTCCATTGTTTTCAGCCCACGCGTGAATAACAATGGCTCTCAAACTAAACAATGACCTATTCAAGAAAACCACTCATTTGTAAAAAAGACAGTTTACCGCGAGTTTTAAAAATAATCTTAGCGCACCAGCTGCTTCATGCCAATAAACCAGAGATGATGAATGATCAAAGCAAAAATGACCGTGATCGAGAGCTATTTTCTGAGCTCATAGAACCCCAAATCGATCCTGTTCTTCTACATTTAGTTCCGCCTTTTCTTGAAGAAAGCAATCCACTATGTTTTATTCAAATAAGCGGTGAAGCTGCTTGGAAATGGAGGGAGTTTTACTGGCTGCCTCGTAGGTAAAATGCTCCACATGTACCTTTGAAAGTAAACCGTATTTATAGTTTTCCTGTCCTCTGTGACGATTAGCCTAATGGACAATCCCAAACCACCTGAACGTCCTCCCCAATTAAAGCAGCAGAATGCCCTTTGGGGTGCTAAGTTACTCGAAGCTGTGACTGCGTCGGAGAAACCGGCAGGGTGAGAAGCAATTACTCCACGGGAGGCCTTGGCCTCCCACACAAATAACGAAAAAAAACCTCTACTAAGGCGGTCGAGGTTATTACAGAGTAAGTTCACTCTTAACACAATGTATTACTGTTATTTCGTTTCGAAAAAACATGCGTCAGAGTGACTTGAAGTGACTCATTACGTCCTTTCTATTATAGAAAAATTGTCCGGGTAGTTTTTCCGATGTAAATCGAATCCTAAACGGGTAATGATAGTACCAAAGTGTTTGTTGAGTAAGATGGAGGAAGAGATAAATATGAAATGGACGGTTTTAAATCGAGCGCTCTTCCAACTTGTAACACACGCACGTAATGTGCGATTTTTTTCAAACAATAGCATAAACAGTAACTTTATAAGGTATTGTTTCTTAGCTCCTCCTTGACAAGTTAATGAGCTAAACCAATATTCCCTAAAGAGGAATACGTGCGTAATCTTTGACCAATGAAAGCTCTCTGAAATACGTTTCGCAGCTAATATTACAGATCTATAGTTTTTCACTACTGTAAGTAAATATCCCAAGAACAATAGGCATTCTACGCGATGCAAGAATTACCTTTGGTTAAAAGGCCCCAAGTTCCTGTGGGAAGACGAGAGTCACTGGTCCAAAATGATCAAATCCCCTGTCTTAGGAGATGCTGATGTAGAAGTTAGAAATTTATGTCTTCACTGTTCAAAGTAATGTTCTGGATGACCTGATTTCGTACTACTCCTGTCGGTGGAGATTGAAATGTTCCATTGCGTGGTTGTTACGCTACAAGCAGTATCTGCAAATGAAAGTTTTGTAAAAAAAAAAAAAAATTTAAATGCGTCAATTGCAAGTGGCTTTTCAATCAAGTACATTAAAATGCAATTGATAAGTTGTGGCCATTTGACAGTCGCAGAGCTTCAAGTTGCCGAAAGAAAGATATTCAAACGCGTTCAGCAGGTGGCCTTTTCAGAAGTCATTGATGTACTTTCGGCAACGAAGAGCTGTAAAGACAAGAAGTACCCAAAGAAGGTTTTAAAGAAAGCCGTTGCATCAATATGTCAGCTGAACCCACAACCCAAGGAAGGCCTGTTGAGAGTCGGAGGTCGACTAGTTAATGCACCCTTTGGTGATGAAAGGAAGCACCCTATTATCCTACCATACAAGCATCATGTGACTGACCTCATTATTAAGCAATGTCATGAAAACTTGGGTCATATGGGCCAAGAGTCTGTTTTGTCATCCTTGAGAGAGACGGTTTGGATTGTGAAAGGGAGATCGGCGGTGCGGCGTGTTTTAAGAAGATGCCTTACCTGTCAACGGCAGAGAAAAGCGTGCCCTGGGGAACAGTTCATGGCAGATTTACCAGAAGTGAGGCTCGTACCTGAGAAGCCACCTTTCAGTTATGTCGATGTTGATTATTTTGGACCACTTGAAGTTAAGCAAGGAAGGTCCCGTGTTAAGAGATATGGCTGTCTCTTCACCTGTTTAACAGCACGTGCTGTGCACATCGAGATAGCCCACTCCTTAGACACCGATTCAATGATTAATGCCCTTAGAAGATTCATTAGCGTTCGTGGCTATCCAGAGTAAATAAGGAGCGACCAAGGAAGTAACTTCATAAAGGCAGGTAAGGAGCTGAAGGAAGCTATAGAGGAGTGAAATCAACACAAGATCAACAATTTCTGAAAACAGAAAAGGATCGAGTGGATTTTTAATCCGCCCTCAGCGAGCCACATGGGTGGTGCGTAGGAGCGGATGATACGTACCGTGAGACAGATCTTGAAGGCCATCCTAAAGGAGCAGTTAGTCTCTGATGAAGTACTTTCAGCTGTGATGGCAGAGGCGGAATAGTGACAGTGCCCTTGATGAGCAACCACTGACCCCTAATCTTTTGTTACATTTACGCCCGTGTCCAGACTTACCGCCGGGATTATTTGATAAAGATGACCTCAGCTGTAAACGCGCTTGGAGGCAAGCACAGTGTTTAGCCAATTTTTTCTGGCTCAGATGGACACGAGAATACCTTCCAAACTTGTTAGAAAGAAAGAAGTGGAACATGCTAAGAAGATTCTTAGAGGTCGGTGATTTAGTCTTGTTGGCAGATAAGTCCTTCCCTAGAGGAAAATGGCCGCTTGGGCGAGTCGTAGAGGTCATGCCTAGTCGAGACGGATTAGTGCGCACTGTGAGAGTGAAGACGAGCTGGACGGTTGCAACGCACGCTAAGCGACAGCGCAAGGGAGAGCCTCTGAGTGAAGAAAGTACGACTGTGCTGACACGCCCAGTGACCAAGTTATGTTTGCTTGAAATGGAATGAACAGTTTAGGTTAACCTTGAAAGTTTAATACGGCTTACAGAGCCAAATGGAACTTGCAGACGTAACTTTGAACAGTTAAGTTTAAAACTTGTTTATTTGCAACCTGTAGGACTCTGCGAATAGAACAGTTGTCTGAAACATGAAACATTTATATGTACTAGTTGTAGTTGGTAGCCCTGTTTCTTTGCATGTAAATGTAACTGTTTTTCATTCACATTTAGGGGCTAATGTGTGTGGCTACCATTTTAATTCCGTTTTGTTAATTTCATTTCCGGTTGTTTCGTTAGGTAATATCACGTGACTTATTCCCACGTTCATTTGCATTTGAAGTCGCTTCGTCAATGTATGTTCTAGTCCTGGTATGGGTCATTGTATTCCCAATCAGGGTAAAACAGTTCTTTAACGTGCTTAAGGCAGGTTTTTTTTATTTTTTTATTATATGAGCCGTGAAGGTAACACATTTTTTGCCAACAAAGTTTTGAACTCTGGATATCTTAGACAATGGTGACTTGTGTAGACACAAAAGTAACCAAGATGGCTATCGTGTTTAACGCAAGGGACTCTGTAGATATTTTTAAAGTTTATTGAGAGACTGTTGCTAACCACTTAGGTTTTATCACTTGAGTCGAATAAATCGCTTCAAGTCGCCTTAAGTCGCCTTAAATCGTCTTAAGTCACCTTGAATCGCGTAAAGTCACAACGCTTTTTCTGTTCATTTTTCTTAAGTCGCCTTAAGTGTCCCCGTCTGAATTGTTCCTGGGGCCAAAAGTGGTGGTCAACCGATTTGGCTGAAACTTGGCACAAAAGTTGAGTGTGATAAGCTATTTCAAAAGCCCCTTTGGCTCACATCTCTAACTGTTTGCTCTAGAGTTTCAGGGAGGGTCCCATTTGTGGCTCGTAGAGCGCCACAATTCAGCCTTCTAGGCGGAAATTCGAAAGTGCTATAAAAATCCATTGGTTAATTGTGCTGCCAAATGAATTTCGCCGTGGTCTCTACTCTAGTAGAGCTTTTACTTCATAAAACTTCCTAAATTTAACTCTGTTCTCAAGTGATTAGATAAAAAGGGGCCTGGGGCTAAAGTAAGGTCAAATTTGAGGTCAAAATCACTACTCAAAATTGCCATTTTTCAAAACAGCTAAAGAAGTGAGCCAAGTTTCAACCAAATCGGTTGACCACCACTTTTGGCCCCTGGAACACCTTGTCTGACAGAGACACTTGAGACCCTTGCAATTACCTCACAGTCACTTCGACCGTTGTTCCGACTGTCGATAAAACAGCTGTGACTTCGAAACCATTCCTCTTGAAGATGCATCTCACTCTCTCTCTTAGTGAAGTTCCCTCTCAAGTTCTTTTCTCTCATGCTCAATAGAATTAATCTGTTGCCTCTTTTCAGTTACCTTTTCTCTTGCTCTTTCTCTAGAAGCTGTGGTCTTGCTCCTATCACAAGCAATTGTCTCGCCATCTTGAATAGACTGGCGCACCTCCTCAATATCTTTATCCTTCTCAGCAATCAACTCTTCGTGCTTTGGACTAAGAATTTTATTGAAACGATCTAGAAAAGACTTTTAAAAAGTGTCATATCTCTTGAAAACTTCATATTTATCTGAAGCTTTCTATTCAAAGGAATAAAGGCTGATAGTTTCTAAAGAATCTGTTTGGGGCTGCGTCGGTGGGGTAACGAAATAATTTGGATATATGAACAAAGTTGAAATGGTAAATTGGCCACCGTAACGATTACAAAAGCTGACGTTTCGAGCGTTAGCCCTTCGTCGGAGCGAAAATACTACGTCTATCCTGATTTGCCTTTAATGAAAGATGTTGCAGCAGTTTTTGATGCTTTTTCTTTTTCTTTCTTCATTGTTGTCATTTCAGTATCTTCATTTGAAGGACCGGCAATAGAATTATACTCTGGCTGAAAAGGTCTTGTTGTATTTCTATCATCTTTACCGTCATCATCATCATCACCGCCATTGCTTTTCTTAGAAATCATAATAGATATCTATTAATAAAATGGAAGCCAGTGAGAAAAGCAACCCAAGTTTTCAAGACCCTCAAACATCCTTTATGCTTACTGCATAATTCACCTAGTAACATTTGACCCAAACAAAGCTTCTCTGGGTGAGGTACATAGAGTCCTTGTTCGGCCAAAACTTGATAATGGGGTTTTTTTTTGTGCCTGGATCTCTCACACTTATCTTTGACTTGGTAATTAGTGATGATGCAAATAATTTATTCGTGAACAATGTATCAAGAGCGCTCATTGATCGATTGACTGTAAAAAGTCGCAGGAGAAATCTTTCAAGATAATGATGGTTATGATCTATTCAAGCTCTATAATGACCTCTTCTTAACAGGGAGTGAGAGAGAAAGCATGTTCAGAGAAGGTATTCAGTGCAGGGGATGAGAAGACTTCAGGTGCTGATGAGGAGAAGCAGCTCAATGAAGTTTATAGGATTCCGCTGAAGTTTATAGGATTGACTTAAAGAACGAAAAATGGAGATAACATGAGGAGAAAATGTTTCCCATCGCAAGCAGTTGTTAAAAAAAAGTCAGTCAAAAAATAAAGATATTTACGACTGTTAGTTCGAATTTTTATTCGAAATGTTTAGATAAGCACTCCATGAACAGCTTCCATCCATTTGTTTTTTTTATTTCTTCCATGCTGATTCCTTTTATACCTTCTTCTTCTTCTTCTTCTTCTTCTTCTTCTTCTTCTTCTTTTTCTTCTTTTTCTTCTTCTTCTTCTTCTTCTTCTTCTTCTTCTTCTTCTTCTTCTTCTTCTATTTTACTGCCGTCTGATTCCTGCCGGAAGATAAAGAATATTTATGAGCTTACTAATAAGTCAATTAATTTATTTGTGCTAATAACACTATTTGCCGGCAGACGTTTATTAGTTCCGATCGATGACATGAAGAAAACTATAGTTCGACAAAATACGCATTGTTGTTCAAACAGATCTATGACTCTTTCATTACTAGGGCTTCCAAAGGAAACGTCCGAGTTGAAATACCGGCTTCGTTTCTTTTTTGTTCAGTCGCAAATCGCCGTTAAGTCCTTAACACGCATGCGCGACGTTTTGACTGAGAGCACATGGCATGGCAGAAGAAGAGGAGTTTTTGCTATGTAAAATCAGCGCAGAAACGGTATAATACTCTCAAAACGCAAAAACATGTGTACACAGTGTTCGCGTTTTGTTTAGTATTATCGCTGAGTATTTTTACGAGTTGTGCTGTATTTTGACGAGCCCGTAGGGCGAGTCAAAACACAAGTAACGAGTTAAAATTCTCAGCGATACGACACACCAAAACGTCTAATAAGTTATTTATTATCCAACACGTCAAAATGTTATTTAAGTGCAAGCGAATTTCGCGGATGTTTTATTTACGGGGAGTGCATGACAAAATGATGCGAAGCGGAACGGAATTGGTGCGTTGTCGCGTTGCTGTTTAGGAGTACCGAATGGTCTTTGCGAGCATGCAAGCAGTGTGTTTTTATTTGCGAGGACTAACAGATGTCAAATTTCTCTCGCGAGCAGCGAGCACTTTAGGAAGTACAGATGGCGAGCAGTGAGCACTTTAGAAAAATACAATTAGCGAGCACACTTACACACTTACACACTTTATTTTCTTTTTCTTACAAAATAATTTAGATTATGTTGACCCGCAGATAGCAAATTTGCTATTCGAGGCGGGTCAATCATCAACAAACATTATTTACAATATATAAAGAAAATTAAAAACTAAATAATTAGATATTGTTAAATTATAAAAAGAAGCATAGCTGGCAAATACATCAATAGTTGTTCAATAAAGTATAGAAGCAAATACATTAGTACTGAAAGCAATCGGATCAATTTGTTTTAATTATGCAGTCCTTAAGTTTAGAGGAGATCTTTTCAACATCAAGATAAGAATCTTCATTATCTAGTATCTGAAATAAAGACGTTTTAATTTGTTTATTAAAGGAATGTTTTGATAACGTTTTGAATTCTTTCGGTATCTTATTCCAAATTTTGACACCAACACGCGAGAAAGCCTTTTTTTGTAGGTTAAGTCTAGAGTACTTTGTACTAAAGAGCTGCGATTTGGATGATCGAGTATTGTAGGTATGAATATGAGATGTTTTAGTAAATAGTTTCAAAATATTAATGGGAGCCCTCTGGTTGTGCACGTCAAACATAAGTTTACTTACGCGGCTTCATAATATAGGAACGTAACAGGCAGAATTTTTGCTTTGGCAAATAAAGGGATGGCATGCTCTCTTCGATCGGTGAAA